GACAAAATTGTTTTAAAAATCAGATAAATTATAGTCAGTTAATTTCTAAGATATTCCACTCATTTTTTTAGATTTCTTTCATTCTGGAAAATAAAATACAGCTACTACTGTGGTTTCCAACAGTAACTTTGCTCAGTAAAAGGAAAATTAATTTGCTCTGTTCATTAGTGGCTAAAGACCCTACACATATTCAAAAAGACTACTCTCCATAGCTCCATACCTTTGAATTAAAACACAATGTTTTTCTTGGACCAGTTGAGTTAAATCTTGGAATTACTGTTTGTAAAACTTGCAAAACAGTTAGCTTTGTGCCTTTAAAATGATGGTTTTATTAGTGGCAGGAGTATATATTTATAGGTTTTATTCAGACAATGTGAAGCTATTGCAGAGGCTTACGAAATCAAATTAGGCAGGTGAGATTTCAAAAAAATAAACTTTATTTAAACTGAAATTGTTTAAGAGAAAACTAGCTAGAAATGAGGCGTCAACACTCCGACAACATCAGTAAACCACAAGTTCAGGATGGTGTACAAGGAATTAATACTGCACAGCCAGCTTTAGAAATGAGGATCCAAAACATGCACAATCACTCACCTATAAGATGAGGGCTCTCAACCTTGAGAGTTGCCTTGGGCAGCATCCCAACCCAAGGGGAGAATCCCCGACTGCAGACCTGCTGCTCCAAGGAGGACCGACTCAACTTGCCCTCCGGCGGGGCTCCATTTATACCCTAGTTGTGTGAAATAAATGTGCACACGTCCTGAGCATCCATGCGACTCTGTATATAATGTCACCAACATATATGTCACCCTTTTCAGCATCCCTATTACCATGGTCCTTGAGACCCTCGCAGTCTGAACAGTGCAGTAGGAACGTAAGATACGGCAGCAGGTTGTTCCTATCCTATGGGTCAGTGTGTTAGTTGTTCTCTTGCAATGCATGGGAAGCTATTCACGCTTGTTTATCCTTTCAGGGAAGAAAGGTAAAGCTACTGCACAGATTAAAAGTCTGCACTGTGGCAGGTGCTATACAGCTTCATTAGTATGGTAATTTGATGAAGGGTTGGTTAGGTGCATCCCACCAAGCAGAACTTGGTTAGTGTTTCAGTCTTGGTTTGTCATGGTTTAACCCCAGCTGACAACTAAGCACCACCCAGCTGCTCACTCACTCCCCCCATCATGGGATGGGGGAGAGAATCGGAAGACTAAAAGTGAGAAAACTTGTGGGTTGAGATAAAAACAGTTTAATAAGTAAAGCAAAATCCGTGCAGGCAAGCAAAGCAAAACAAGGAATTCATTCACTGCTTCACATTAGCAGGCAGGTGTTCAGCCATCTCCAGGAAAGCAGGGCTCCATCACACGTAACGGTTACTTGGGAAGACAAACACCACCACTCTGAATGTCCCCCCCTTCCTTCTTCTTCCCCCAGCTTTATATGCTGAGCATGACGTCATATGGTGTGGAATATCCCTTTAGTCAGTTGGGGTCAACTGCTCTGGCTGTGTCCCCTCCCAACTTCTTGTACACCCCCAGTCTACTCGCTGGTGGGGTGGTGTGAGAAGCAGAAAAGGCCTTGACTCTGTGTCAGCACTGCTCAGCAATAGCTAAAACATCCCTGTGTTATCAACACTGTTTTCAGCACAAATCCAAAACACAGCCCCATACTAGCTACTGTGAAGAAAATTAACTCTCTCCCAGCCAAAACCAGTGCATTCTTAAAGTCTGTGTATGTATTTTCCATGTCTGAAATGAAGTAGTTTCCTTCCCATGAGGTAAACCAGGTAATGATCTGTTGCCACAGTAATAAGGCTGGGATCTTCAGGTGTTGTCAGCTGGAGTCTAAACCAGAACTGTTGTCATCAAAGTGAGGTCAATGAGGTCATAAATGTATATGTTAAGCAGTAAAAATCAGCTAATGTACTTATTAGTGTTTTATCTGTATGTGAACAAGCACTAAAAGAGTTTAAATCCTCTTTGCACCTGTACTTTCTGACAGAATGGCAATAATGAAGGTTGGGGATCAGAAGTCCCAGTCTGTCTTGGTTGATCCCCACTATCTTGATCTGTACTAGCTTGTGTGAGTCCCAAGTCTTATCTGCGCAGGCTCTCCTTTCCAATCAGTTCCCTTCATCTTCCTTAATCATAACTCCTCAGTTCTTTCATCCCAGACACTCCCAGTTCTCTCACCTCTTTTCCTTGATTTGTTTTCCTTTCCATTGTCATACTATCCCTTCCAGTTTCTTAAACCCTCTACCATTTCAACCTGCAATTCTCATTCCAGCTGGGTTTCAAGCTTCCCTTCTTGCTCTTTATTCAAGTCAGTGCGAGCTCTTCCAGTTCTGACTACTTCGTCTTTGCTACAGATACTTTTACCCACCACACCTCACTGATTTAAGAATCTGTCTCCCTTGATGTCTAGTCTCTTTGTACCAGCTCTTCCAGTTCTGGCTTCTTTATCTTCTCTCCAGCTACTTTTATCTACCATAACTCGCTGATTTACAATTTTTTTCTTTCTTGACCTGCTGTCCCCATTCTCTCTGGAATTTCTTGTTTCTAGGTCCTTTTTCTACTCTTTCACTTTCAAATTTCTACCTCAGTCTTGGTTTACTCCGCTTTCCTTCTTGTCCCAGCATAATCGAGAGTGCAGGTGTGACTCATGTCTCATCTGCATTTGAAAAAGGCTGCCCTGCATCCAGAAAAGGTGGGAGTATTACTAGGGGCAAAAGAGAGAGAGTCTCTGTTCTTTTTTGATGTGTATACCTGGCACAGTCCATCACAGCCTAGAGGCACTGAATTTCAGCCAGGGCATAGTCAATGCAGTTTAAAACAGAGATATGACAAGTCCCTGTTTAGGTAAAATAGTATTCATAGCATGCACATCTGCAATAGACTGTACTTTTATCATAAAAGCATATAGTGGTGTGTAGTATTGTGTACAATACATTGTTCTTCCTGTTTTAAGTTGGATATAGCATGAGCATTGTTTATAGAACATTGTGATAGGATATCAAATATTTTTACATAATTTTGCTATAGGCCCTGATATTTAAAACGTTTATAAAGAGCTTTTTCTTAAACATTCCTTTCAATAATTTGGCAGTGCATCCTTTCATCCCCTTTGCCATAATACTTATTCCTGTCAAGAAATGCCAGCAGATATTTTTTTTTTCCCTTGCTGAAGAGAAAATGCTGAAAATACTTCATAGCAGAATTGATGAACTTTTTTTCTGCAATGAACCTTGGAAATTTTGGTCCTAAATGATTTTAGTTTCTGTGTTCCTCAAATCAAATTTATAGCTAAAGAAAAAAAAAAAGAAAAGCCTTATTTGCTCTTATGATTTACTGCTGTGTAGTGTATCTGTGTATGCAAAAGTATTGTCACTGAGGTTGTCACTGGTTCTTTGTTTGTCATTATTTAAAGGCTTCATCTGTGTAAAGGTGTGGAAGGAAAGATTAGCTATGTACTAAAAGATGCATGTTTATTTTTAAAAAATATGACAGAGAAAATAATAAGCCTTTTGAGAAAAAAAAAGCCAAATAAAAATATACAATCTAATTTTCTTTTTCTCTTCTATTATACAATCCGGGGCTATAATAGGCTTAGATTAAATTAACAGTCAAATGAAAAAACCATCTTTATCTATTATGTTTTCCACCTGTTCTTACACACCAGGAAGAAGATGAGACTCCATTTATTTCTAGTAATTTGCCAGTGTGTCATAAACAGTGTCAGTACCCACCATGCTTCAAATCCCAATGTCATTTTACTGATGGCTGATGATCTTGGTATTGGAGACCTGGGATGTTATGGGAACAGAACCTTAAGGTATGATGATACATTTGGGGGACTCACAGCTTTATATTTTTATTTTTTTGTATTTAGTTATTTTTTTTAAATTTAGTTTTTTTATATTTTAGTTTTTTAGATTTGTAAAGTTAAAAACACCAAAACATTCAGAGATTTGATTAGGTTCTTTATAAGTAACCAAAGTTAACCACCTTTCTAGAGAATAGAATATTCGATCTTTGTTTTCTTTTCTTAATAAGAAAAAAAGACTTTTCTGAGGTATTTAGGTATTT